CATGTTTTACTGATTTTAATATATTTCAAAGCATGTTTATTATCACTCACTGGCATTTAGTGCATATCTGCTAAGCATAGTGGTGTTCATATATACTGTGGAAAAAATACATGAAGTTATCTTGATAAAAACATTTGACTATTTCATAAAAGGAGTGTTTCCATATAAAGTAATAAAAATTTAGCAACAGACTACATTCATATCGCTATGTAGCATTTGATCCATCAAAAACATTTTTACACCATTGTGCTAATTTAGACCTAATTATCCTCAGTTCCTAAAATGCATCGGATTAGACTGGAAAAACTTTATTTTCATTAGGCCACAGTTACTCAATAGTACATACTCACTGCTCTTGAACATACTGAAACTGTGACATCAGTAAATGTCTCAGGATAAATTGCCACTCTTGGAGCACCTTCTATAACATGCTCACCTACTGTTCAAGGTATTAACCAAGATCTTAGTAACACTTTCTATTAGTGCCACAAATAATTGTATATCAGGAGTGAAATTTACATGTTCAGTTTCTTCCTGCAATTTAACTTTTCAGTAGTATTTCTCTAGTCATTCATCTTTTGAGATAGAAGAAAGAATTTCACACCTTGCCTTTTCCAAGAAATGGACTTCACAGGCATTTAAGGTTCGTTTCATCCTTTAGTTTCTGTAATGTTGTCATAGTTAAGAATTTGTTAAGAATTTTTAGTGTATTTTTACTTCCTACAAATTTCTATTTCTCCTCATTTGTTTGCATTTAGACCAGTCTGTGTATTTGCCAAATCATTCTAGCATAGTAGCTTGTCTTTATCAGAATTGCCAAACCCTATACATTCAGAGTTGTCACCTAACTTAGTGACTGTAACTTTCTAAGAGTTCATGCCTGTATCTATTACTAGATCATCCTTGGTCATTTTTAGAAAAAATATAAACAACTGAGTTAAGTAATCGTCTACTCTACACTTCCACAAACTTGGACATGGCTTATACTTCCCCAAATTAGTTCCCTCTCAATTTATTTAGATGAAATCTTCTTAGGTTCAAGTAAAGTCAATCAGCTCTTATTGGCTAGCATAAGAATGGCAGGTGATAAAGTAGGAAATGGCAGGGAATTACGTTAGAGAATGGGAATGTTTATAAAGTCTGATAACATATATCTCATTTCAAAAGAAGATGAAGCCTTTTATTTCATCTTCAAAATTGATTTGCTAACGTATCTTTTCGAGCTTCTCATTTACTATACTATTTCTCCAATCATTTTGATAGTCCAAACTATTATGTCTCTCTTATCATGTTTAACGTTTGACATGTGAGCTACAGTGAGTACATAATATAATACAGTCTGAGAAAATGTCATTAATGTCACAGGGCAAGAAAAGAGTTACTCCATTATAAGAGAAATCTATGCTGAAATTCTGCACACCCAAGTGTGAGGAAGATCATAATTTGCTTAGGTTGAAATAATGACTATCACTAAATCAATAAAACATCCTCACTTTCAGAGAGTTTGGGGCTTATTTTTGATGGAAGGGAGGGATTACAAATATCAATTTTCCTTGTGCCTTGTTTTCTCTGTAAAAATATCTGTTTAACTGCTAAATCATTGTGAACAATTTTTTAAATTATTTAAATTTGTTCTAAAGATTACCGCTTCCTTTTCACTCTTGTAAATCTGGGATATCATGATTATGTTCACTGTTCAGAATTAAAGACTTTCAGTACATGAAATTGATTCATGAGGTGCTTTGCTTCAAAGTTCCTTTGGAGCAACATTAAACTGTTTGGGGAACAGAATATTTATCAGACAATACAAGGCTCTGTTTTTAAAATATTCTAGTCAGGGAATTTTCCTTCTGAAAGAAATATCAATGGCCAGTTTTCTGGTACACCCTGTGTTTCTTTAGTAGTTGCTGGCAAATTGATGTTGACATTTTAGCCTTTGGGGCTCTAGTAGAAGTCTACATTGCTGCCTTGTTTCAAATATTTAAATTTATTTGATGCACATGTGAAGAGCAAGATTTAAAATGTGTTAGAATGAAATACTGGGAGAAAGGAGAAAAGAAGCAAGGAAGAGGAGAGAGAGCAAGGATGAGAGAGCCATTGAAAATGAATTTTAAGAAATACCGACTTCACCTCCCACTCCGTTCATTCACCCTTCTTATTAAACATCGTGGAAAATCATAGCACACAGATGTTTGAATAAAAAATATATAGTGCATATAGTGGAAAGAACATCATATTTGGAATCAAAAGACTTGCATCTGAGGTTTGTCTCTCTTTCTTATGGGATAAGTCAACTTCTCCATAAATCCTTTCCTGATCATCCTATTTGAATTGCAAACCCCCCCACCCCAGTCTTTCCCCATCCTCTTTCCCAGCTTTGTTTTTTTCCATAGTACTTATTAACATCTCAAACACAATGTATTTTTCCCTTTATTTTCTTGCTCCTCCTTCCCACAACTGAATGTAAGCACCACAAGGACATTTGTTCCTATCTGTTTGTTTGCTAGCTCATCCCAGGCTACAGAACAGTCCTTGGCATGTTGGCTGCTTTCAGTAGGTATTCACTGAATGAATGAATAAAATAAGCTCTGTGTGCCTCACACCTTCCAGTTTCCATTTGTAAAGTTATTAAGGTTATAAGGAAGATAGCGAAGACATTCTATGTAAAAGCATATTCGATAATGCCTGGAATATAATGGCTATTTCATGTATCCATTCAATTCAGTTTATTCTCTAATACATGGATCTGAGAGTCTGTTTTGTGTAGACAGGGTGAGTCTAGGTCCTAGTTTATCCAAAACTGCCCTAGTATTCTCAAATATTGTGATTGCTTTCAATGTCTACAGAAATTTTAGGAATAGACATTTGAGCAGTAAAGCTTTAATGTAACTTTTGCATTTTTCTGAAAATATTTTTCTAAGAAGCATGATGTATGTATTTATATAATTATATCCATTGTTTAGAGTGGCATTGAGATTAAGGCTGTCAAGGGAGAAAGACCATGTCAAACAATACTCCTATAGTAGTTTTAAATTATAATAAAGATTACATTGATCTGGAAGCATTCAGATCCTATAGAATTTAAAAAGGAAAGGACAAGTTTAAAGGGATGTAACATCCTAGTTGTTCTTTGATTTGTTATTTGCAGAAAGTTGAGAATTCATTAAATACAAAGAGTATTATGTGAAAATATTCACAAAGTAAATATTAGAAAGATATTAGAAAATTATCTCTAGTTTCGTGTTAATAACATGCACATAAAATTCTATCATTCTGGAGTAAGCTATTTTCATACCTGAAATGTAAGTTTTCTCATTGAATATGTCATGACAATGAGTATAATATTTACCATCTCACTGAGGAGACAAACCAGATACATTAAAAGGTATTATTTAAAGATAAAGGGCAAAACAAATTAGAATATATTAAATACAGGACACATACTCTGGCCAGTATTCTCCAAACTTGGGCTGCATATCTAGTCACCTAGATATGTTTTTTAAATGCACATTCCCAAATTTCACATGAGTTTATTGACTTAGATATTTTATGGCTTAAAGTCTATAATTTTTTTTTAATTTTTCCTTTTGATTCTGAAGTATAGACTCAGTGTATGGTTATATCGTTTGGTCCATAAGTATTGCATAAATATGCAGGGGTAGTGGGATAATGTGAGTGCCTTCGGGGAGGAGGTCTATCTGAGATTGTGTTTGAAAAGAAGCAAGGCATTTTGTAAAGGAGTAGTACTATGAGCACAGTTGTAGAAGTGAGAATAGAAATTGCATGGAAATGATTAGTTTATAAAAAAGGAAACTATTTTTAATAAGGTTGGGTGGAAAATAAAGTTAAAGAGGTAGCTAATCCCCAGCCTGGCTATAGTAGTACACTAGGCTTTATCTTGTAGGCAGTGGTGAACTCAATAACCAAAGATTTTTGTTTAAGGAGAGTACATATAAAAATAAATTTTGAAAGAATACATATTCAGTTAATGTGTGACATTATTGACAGGCTGAAAACTAAACACAAATCAAACAATAGTAGATTAGACTTGAAGTGATAAGGGTTTATGCAGAATGCTTCTTGTGCAAATTATAATAAAAGATAAGGACCAATGATGATTATGAAGAAATCACTGATAGCAAAGAGAATGCATCTTAATAATGACTTGGTAAAATACAGAGAAAAAACAAATCATTAAAAATCATATGTTTGTTTATTTAAAAGGTGACAATCAGAAAATATTTACCAATTTTTAATTAGAATATCATATGCCAAGAGAATTTATTTAAATAATTCTAATGAAATTAATAAACTTTTTAGCAAAATATAGCTTAATCTTTTTATATAGAAAATATAGCTAGTAAATCAATTATCATTTTCAAAAATATAAGTACACTTCCTTTTTTACATATAATTCTGATACCATAAAATAACTGTATTTTTTTCAGTCAAATTAGCATCAGGTATTTGTGTCATGAATTGAATCTAGCGATATATATATATATATATATATATATATATATATATATATCTGAGAGACTTCTCTAATAAGACTTTGTATATCACATATGTTCTTCTTTGCAAAATATTTCACAAATAAAGACAAACAACATTTAAGTGAAATAGAAGGAAATCTTTCATTAGAGAGTCCAGAGTATCAAGTATTTCTACTATCTTAACTATCTTAATACTGATGTCATCTAATCTTCCAAGAAATAGCAGTTACTTCTATAACTGCTACAGTTCATTAACTATTACTGGTGTCATTCACTGTACTTCCCTTCAAGCCATGCTCTCCCCCTTTCTCTACCCTTCTTTGCTCTCCTAGGCCCTTGCCTGTTCGAAGCTGTGCTTAGGTCAGCCAGAGCATCTTGATAGCACCGTGACCCATGTTTTGCATGGAGCGTGCATGTTGCGCCTCATGTTTAATTTTAGGAAACAAATAGAGGAAGTGGCTCATAGCCCAGAAAAAGGAAACAGCAAAAATAACTTTTTAATAGACCTCGCATCTCTTCCAGTGCTCCGTCACCTGTGGCAAAGGGACGCAGTCCCGTGTCATCCAGTGCATGCACAGGGTCACGGGGAGACATGGAAACGAGTGCTTTTCTTCAGAGAAGCCCACAGCATATAGGCCGTGCCACCTTCAGCCCTGCAATGAGAAGATCAACGTAAACACCATAACGTCCCCCAGACTGGGTAAGCAGACTGAACGAGGATGCTTTTGAGAGACAAAAATGCCACCGGCTTCTTCGATTTTGCCTGTCGCTGAAAAGCTTGAGAATTGTCAGCCAATGCTGATTACTTTGGTTCTGACTAAATTGAACCTATGTGAATGTCGTTTAGTCCAAATGATCAGGTAGGTAAAAAACTCTAAAGACTAAACTGCTTTGATTCCTGAGGGCATCTACTGAGAGCCAGGTCCAGGAAATACTAATGCTGCACCACCCAAGCTGGCCTTGGAAAGGGTTGAAGGACGTAACCCAGTATTAGGCTTGGACCAGTCCCATGGCAGAACTATCAATTAAGTCAATGTCTGAAGAAAGGTGAGATTGTATTATAAGCCTTAGATCTCTCCATAGTTAATAGCCTCCCTTGTGATTCTGAGTACAAATTATTATTTGGAGAGACAGTAAAAAATGGCTCTCAAGAAGAATAGATAGATCTATACCACGGAACAAGAGGTAGGTACCATTTTCTTCTTCACTTTTGAGCATATAATATTAACTAAAAAATAAATGCTAGTAATATATTGATGTTTATGTAATTTTTATCTTATAAATGCTTTCATATATGTTATCAATTCCTGTCATTTAGTCTAATCAATAATCAAGAAATAGAGTATGTATTTTAAGTAGGCACTGCCAGCCCTTGCATAAAAAATACTAATGAATGAATTAGCCTTTATTTGTGTGGCAATTAGTGGCTTTTAACAGCACTCCTGCCTATCAGTGGGTTAATTTAGATTTAAACCTTCATTTTTAACCTGTTTTTATAATCTCCTGGGGAACAATTTGAATCATACAGAATAATATTACCAAAATGCAAGGAGCTACATTGTCATATGTATTTTTCTAGACATAGGATTTGATCAAAAGGAAAAGTTAGGTTCTTCATGGAAATACAAAAATTCTATTTTCTGATACAAATATTAATAATTAACATTTCTAAGAAATGATATGTTTGAGTTGGATAAGACTAATTGAGACAAAAAGCTAAAGAATCCTAGAGCAGATGCACTGAATCCATGTATTTAATAACAGCATCATCTCTTTCTCCAACATTTACTTGGAGTCCTTGAAGTAGCCTGTAGCGGAAAATAATGGATTAAAAGAATAATTTTGTTAAAATTGCATTTTCTCTATTATTCCTTAAAGGTGTACCCCAAAACACAGAAACACAATGCTTGGAAAATCTAAGGTTTTTTTAAAGTAAAATAATCATATTAGAATACGATTCATTCCAATGGACAAAAAAAAGAATTCTTGCAGGACTAACTTTCATTATGCATGCCAGAACACACTGCTTCTCCAGGAAAACTGAAGCCAAATCTATTAGGTCATTAAATATGAAATATATGGCTTCAAATCAATTGTAGTTTATTATTATCTCAAACAATAAGCAATACAATTAATCCATATGTCAATATGCTCTGAAAGTATCGACACAGTTTTGCCATTTTAACGTAGCTTGTTTATGTCAGCAGCGAAGATGCCTGGAGAGTGAGTGATGATGAAATCACAAAAGGCATTTTTCACAGCTTGTTGAAAATTGAATATTTTCCCTTGCAAGAAGTGGTCCAAAGCCTGGAAGGAGTAGCAGTCAGTTGGTGCAAGGTCTGGTGAATACGGTGGATGACAGAGTTTAAAAGTCCAGCTTCTGTAGTTTGAACAGCATTGTTCATGCAACGTGTGGTCAGGCGTCATCTTGGAAGAGGACTAGCCTGTCTCTAGTCCAGTTTGTCTCTTGACCAATCTCAGCTGCTTAATCACAAGCATCCTCATCATTTCCTCCAGATGGCTGCAGTAGATATCTGCTGTAATGGATTGACCAGGCTTCATGAAGCTGTAGTGGGTAGATAATACCAGCACTGAACCACCAAACAGACACCATTAGCTTTTTTTGATGAATATTTGGTTTTGGACTGTGTTTCAGCACTTCATCGTTATCCAACCACGGTGCCAAATGCTTGTGATTATCAAAAAGAATCCATTTTTCATCACACATAAAAACACAGTGTAGAAATGGTTCACCTTTATGTCATGACAGCAAAGAAAGGCAAGCTTCGAGATGAAATTTCTGACATTCGTTTAATTCTTGTGGAACCCATCTATCCAGCTTCTTACCTTGCCCATTTGTGTCAAATGGTCCAATATTATTAGAATAGTAATGTCAAATCTTGCTGTTAATTCATGCATAGGTTGAGATGGATTCATCTCCACTACAGCTTTCAGCTCATCATTATCCACCATGGTCTCAGGTTGCCTACTTGACTCATTTTCAAGATTAAAATCACCAGAATGGTACTTCTCAAACCATCCATGTACTGTGCATTCATTAGCCATATCCCTCCGAAACATTTTGTTGATATTTTAAGCTGTCTGTGCTGCATTGGCTCCATGATGGAACTTATGTTCTAAATTAACATGAAATTTTGACTTATCCATGGTTTCGCAAAAATTGATCTAGAAAAAACTTGAAAGATAATCATAATCACAAGCCAAACCATTCACTTGAAAGACTGAGTACCTTCATAATAAAAATAAAACAAGAAGTGTCAAAGTGATATGTCATATATATCAACTGTCAAACTTAGTACTTAAGAAAATCAGACATTTCATACTTAATAATTAATACATGACCAAATTTTGTATGCCAAGTTCTCATTTCAAACACTTTATTGCTATAAATACCCGTCACTTGTGATGATCAGCTTTGATTTTACAGAAGCTGGAAATCACTGTTTCCAGATATTCCACCTACATGTGGGAAAGTAGGAATATGAAATAAATGTGAGAATATTTTCAATTGGCTGTTTCATTATAATTTCATTAATAACAGTGCTACTTATTAATTTTCATATCCCCACAAAAGTGGATATATCAAGCACATTTCTTTTTTTCTTTTTAATCTTCTCTACTAAAATCCAAAAGAAGCTTAAATGAATTCCACAAAATTGAAGCTTAAAAGTATAACATATTGAATTTGAGGAATAAGCCTAAAAACGTTTATTAGTAAGAACATTATTCATTCACTTTACTCCTTTATTGCAGAGAGAGTATGTGTATGTTTGTATCTCTTTGTCTTTTAAGTTCCAGAAGGCAATATAAATGAGTCAAAATGATTGAAATGTGTCTCTACTAATGACATCTATGATATCTGCATGTATTGAACTCACCATATTCTGTTTCACAGCTGCTCTAACTTTCAAGTGCCTGGGAGATCAGTGGCCCGTGTACTGCCGGGTGATACGCGAGAAGGACCTCTGCCAGGACATGCGGTGGTATCAGCGCTGCTGCGAGACGTGCAGGGACTTCTACGCCCAAAGGCTGCGGCAGAAGAGCTGACTGCTGGCGGACTGGCTGGCTCACGGCTCTTTGCAATTACTTTATTTATAAACACACACACTAGCATGTTTTTCAGACCAAATATTATCAGATTACATATAATTTAATCAAATTAATTTATTTTTTTTTTGCCTGCCAAACATCCAATGTGGTGCTTGTTTTGATTATGCAAACATTTTTGATTTATACTGTATGGCTTCATGAATAATTTTATATAAATAGTTAAGTTGGATCCAATAACATATTTTTAAACAAGGAAAAAAAGATCATTAGACTTAAAAAAATGTTTTTGTTCGTTAGGGCTGTCTCTAAGATGCTACTTTCTCCCCATCAGCACCATTCAGTTATCCAGAATGTATACTAACTTAGCATAATAGTTTAGTTATATATGGAGAGAAATTATTTTTGTTTTCTTGGTGTCCTGCTGCAGAATTAGCCCATTTTCTGTAATCTGCAGATGTGTAAACATAACAAACCTCGTAGTGTTAAACAGGATTTTAGAGAATGTATTATGAATTTGGTTCAGATTTAGAAACATCCATAGGAAAATTCTGCTGTACTTATAACCTTATTTTAATAACGGAAAAGAAAAGTCAAAGTAGAGACTTTGATCATGTTCATGAACATGTACTTGAACACAAGTATTGTAACAATGAAACACTGTAATGATTTACACTGAATCACCATTGCACTGTTGATATAGTGTAGAGAAACCATTAGAAGTGATAACATCTTACAAAAATGTATATTATTTTAACATGTTGTTATTAGATTTTAGCTTTCTTATAATATTTTAAACAATGGAGGCATTGGTCCACCCATTTTCTTGTATCTTTTTAGAAGAATTATGGAAGAGAATAGTACTTAGCCTCATAAATCATAATGAGAAAATTTACTAAATATTTGTCAGCCTTTTTCTTAGGAATGGGGAAAAACAAAAAAGCATATAATACTGTGGTAGTTTCATTGTGGGTTTTTTCCTTTTAAAAATTGAAAAGTTTTACAATTCTGTGAAACGTTGAAAAGCCAGCTTAAAATGTTTCTTGTGAGAAAATATTGTACATGAGTCACATGATTTCTTAGATTTTACAATAAAATATGTGAAGCTTCCTGGTGGGAGATTATTCTTCATAGACTTCTCATGATTCCACACATCAAGCAAAGGTATTGCCCACTTGTGCTCTGGAGTATCTTCTAAAAGATTTCTATATAATGAACTGCCTTGGAAGATAGAAATAGTGTTTCTCTTTGGAGCAAATGGCAAACATGCTTCTTATTATTAAAAGTTCCAGGGTCCCTGGGTTTCTTTCTAATATTAATAATATAACTCAATGCATATACAGGTGTCACCTGGCTCTCTTTCCGACACTCTGTGGGAATTGGGGCTCAGGGAATCAATTCAGGAAAGTGCTAATTTCTTGGCTACTACTATTGCTGTAAGTAATAAAGTCCTTTGTCTTTAACTCAGAAGTCTCATGTCTTCTGCCCTGAAAATGTGGCAGGTTAACTCAATAGGTTTCAAGTAGGGTAAAATCTCAAAACCTTCAGTTTTTGTACTTTTGTTATTAATATTTTTCACCTTCATTTTAATAAAACTGCTTTAATATTGGGGTCATTTTGTTTCTAGGTTGTCCCTTACTATGTAAAACCTTTATTTTCATTGCTGAGATAGAAGATTAACCAGTATCAGCAAATTTCATATGAGATAGTAGTGAATGGGAGGAGGGAAAATTGAAATAGTAAGAGGAGGAACTCCTAATTCTATCCTTTGATTCTTGAATGCATGAATCTAGGTAGAAATAGCATAATATATTGAATGATGATTCAGAACACATACATCTAAGGATATTATTTCAGATCTCCAAAGTTTTTACCCAGCTGGTGCCAGATTAAATCTTTTATAAAAAGATATTGTATTATTCTCTTAGGCCATCTGCTTTAAGGTGATGGGGAGCATAGTAATACTAGACATTTACATGAGCAGGAGCCCATCACCACGTTTTATTTGCTGTTAAAAGAATTCCCTGAACAGAAACGATATTATGTGGAATACAGTAATAGTGAATGAGACATCCGTTAAGTACACAGATGGTATTTTGGCAGAAGCATTGGAGGCTGGGAAGGCAAATCCATTTTCAGAGCAAGTGACTATTTCTGAAAGAACAAGCCACTGCCTCTTTGGGGACAGAAGCATTCTAATGTAATCAACCTATAATCAAGGTGGTGGGCTGGTCCTCTGATGGAATTGTACCATATTGAGGACATAATGTCTTCTCTGCTATTGTGAGGTCGAGCCCTCAGCAGTGACTAGCTACATTTGCCTTGGTGAAGGGAAGTTCACATTGCTGAGCTCAAGCATAACCTCCACTCTTGCCACCATTGTCTCTGTGCTCTTTAGCCCACTAGTCAAGGACAAAGGTGGGTAAAAGAGACTGATCAACATCCACAGAATATGTCGTCTTATCTACCAGATGACTGAGATTCCTCTCCTGAGGGTGTTCTTTGATGAACAGTCAAGTGGATTATAAGTATATAAGCAATCCAAGGAGATCTGTCCACATGCCTTTTCCTCAGAACTTGTGACCAAGTTTCAATTCATGCTTCTTCCAAGTTCCTATCAATCAAGCTAAACCATTAGACACAGCCCAGGAATTAATGCATACCCATACATCTAGCCATGTTTTCTTCTAGGCAAAATGAACAGCCAGATGCACAGCTTGAATTCTGAGAGGATTATCCTTATGTCATTTAGAGTCACTTCTATGTGGTTGTATAGCTGCAGCTATCCACTCTTGGTTGTGATAGCATATTGTGAAGAAACATTCTTAAACCACGCCCAGATGTTTTCTATCTCAGCCAACTAGTTATAAGAAATGCTTTATGAGATTTTAGGTATGGGTTGATAGGAGGCAATGTAGCAGTAGTAGGACCCTTAACAATCAGATCTAGTTGCTCATAGAAGTTTATGGCTTCAGAATGTAATCATGACTTATCTTGCACACTTGGTGATGGAGTGATATTCTGCCCAGGTAATCTGTGCACAGGCTTTATGGATCAGACATCACCCAATTTATAATAGGCAGTACAGGTTGCATGGGAATTTGGTGCCCTATGGTCAGTCATTCAGCCTTTTCTAGGATCTAGTAGCAAACCATAAGTTGTTTCTCAAAAAAAAAAAATAATTATTTGTAGAGCATAACACAGCTTTGCTCCTAAATCCTAGAAAACCTCTTATGATTCACCAGTAGGCACCTGCCAGAGTTTCTATATGGGATCCTTATATGACACCAGTTCTTCAAGTAACACCATATTTATTGTGCCACATAGCCCAAGTAGCTTGAGCAGCATCAAGATTACAGACTCTTCTCTTATTCTGTGCACTACATGAAACTGGAAGTCTTTGGGGTAATAAGTAATAAGTTGCAGAACAGCATTCCTAAAGGAGGCATACATTCCCACACCAGCCTAACTAGGTTTAGTGTCGCTTTCTTAACCACTTGGGCACAAGCGCCGACTATGGCGCCAGCCACAGATGAACACGCACAGCCCAGCGTGGACTCTAGCATTAATAACAAAACTTGACTTTTCTAATTTTTCATTTATCCAAATAAAATTGTGAACATTTAAAAGTAACGTAATGAAAACATATATGTATATGCTACCTGTTCTGATTGACATGACAAGGAAAGCTGCCTGTAAAGTAAAACGAGCTCTCAGTGCTTCCAGCTGTCGCCGTCACACGCGAGCAAACCCCAGGGTCCCTGCACAGCGCAGACTCCTGCGTGCACGGTGGGCGGGGTGTCGCGCCCTGTGTGCCGGGTGGGCGGGCGTCCTGGCCAGGAGCGTCGCACCGAAGTGGTTAAGAAGGGCCATCTGTGTTTATAGCAGCACAATTCACAATTGCAAAGATGTGGAAACAACGCAAGTGCCCATCAATAAGTGAGTGGATTAATAAAATGTGGCATATGTATACCATGGGGTTCTACTCAACAACAAAAACAATGGTGATCTAGCACCTCTTGTATATTCCTGGATAGAGCTGGAGCATATTCTACTAAGTGAAGTATCCCAAGAATGGAAAAACAAGCACCACATGTACTCACCAGCAAATTGGTATTAACTGACTTAACTGACCAACACTTAAGTGCACATATAGTAATTCCATTCATCGGGTGTTGGGCTGGTGGGAGGAGGGAGGAGTGAGTGGATGGGTATATTCACACCTAATGGGTGCGGTGTGCACCGTCTAGTGGATGGACAGGCTTGAAGCTCTGACTTGGGTGTGGAAAAGGCAATATATGTAACCTAAACCTTTGTACTCCCATAATATGCTCAAATAAAAAAAAATTAAAAATTTTTTTAAAAAGGGCCAAAGGCAGAAACTTGTCCTCCACCTTAGATATCTCTTCATATTACTGGATTCCTAGAGACTTGTATCAAGGTGTGAGGTTCCTGTAGTTTTCATGGATTTAATTCACACCCTCTAGTACATATGTATCTTATTAAGATGTTTATGTACTATTATTAGTTACTACTTCCTGTTCAGTGGGTCCAATCAACACAGTATCATTAATGTTTTTACCAGTATGATATTCTATGCAATATAAAGGAGATTATAGACTTTGCAGGCTAGAGAGTTGTTATATCTCTAAGGTAGGACAATGAAAGTAATTGGGGGATGACATCAAACTGCTACTGATAATCTTTTTTTTTTTTTTGAGACAGAGTCTCGCTTTGTTGTCCAGGCTAGAGTGAGTGCCGTGGCGTCAGCCTAGCTCACAGCAACCTCAAACTCCTGGGCTCGAGTGATCCTTCTGCCTCAGCCTCCCGAGTAGCTGGGACTACAGGCATGCGCCACCATGCCCGGCTAATTTTTTATATATATATCAGTTGGCCAATTAACTTCTTTCTATTTATAGTAGAGACGGGGTCTCGCTCTTGCTCAGGCTGGTTTTGAACTCCTAACCTTGAGCAATCCGCCCGCCTCGGCCTCCCAAGAGCTAGGATTACAGGCGTGAGCCATAGCGCCCGGCCTGCTACTGATAATCTTTAAAAAATTTATAAAAAAAAACATTTTGCCAGGTTCCGGTGGATATGTACATTTGTTCCAGTAATATAGCTGGAGTAGTAGCTGATTGGAGCTCCCTTCTGATTAAGTTTGTGATAATCCCATGTAATTCTCTACAATCTAGAATTCTGCACAAACCAAAAGAATGAGAATTTACTACCCTCATCCTTACTACCCTTAATGGTGGGAAAAAAATCTGAAATACTTCCAGAAATGCAGTAGTGATTTAGTTTTCAATTTTAATATGAAAAGGCAGTTCTAAGGCCTCCATTGGCATTACTACCATAAAAGTTTACATTTAACAAATCATGGAACCAACAAGTAGGAAGGGTTCTGTAAGTTTCTGAGTATGTCTATTTCAAATATGCCTTCTAGGATTAGAAAACAACTTTGAGTGGGGGGGTTCAGTGACTCTTGGGCACATTATGAGACACTATGAGGGAAGACTAGAAGACAATTTTACAGTATGAATTTTGTACAGTGTAATAGGAACTTTTCTCAAAGAAAAGTGACCTCTCCTTCATTCAAGTTCTGGGTCTGTGAACCAGCTCTGCTGCTAAAACTGATCAAAGGAATATAATCCCTTGGGTGTGGTGATTCAAATCAGACTTCTGTTCACTATAAAGATATAATCCTTATAAAAATCAAGTTGGACTTTAGTAGAATGCCTACACTCATAGGCAATTTGCCTAAGAACACAATTTAGTTGGATGTAATGTAGCTACTATGAATATAAATTCCATGTATTCAATTACCCTGATAGCCTACTGATAGTTCACTAATTTCAAGAATGTTTCATAACAGCTGTTCAAGGATTTACATAACTATTCAAATAATTTTCAAACTATCTCAGATAGTTTGGTAAAACCCAACTGCTCATCTGATCATTGTACAGGCATTTCAGCTGGGAATACTTTCTGATATTTCAGTGGGTTGTTGGTATAATCTTCAAAGAGAGAAGAAAGACAGACAATAGAAGAAATAGAGAAAGAAAGAGAAAAAAAGAAAGAAAGAAAGAAAGAAAGAAAGAGAAAGAGAGAAAGAAAAAGAGAAAGAGAAAGAAAGAAAGAAAAGAGAGAGAGAGAGAGAGAAAGAAAGAAAGAAAGAAAAAAAAAAAAAGAAAGAAAAAGGAAAGAAAGAAAGAAAGAAAAAAAAAAGAAAGAAAAAGGAAGGAAGGAAAGAAAGAAGGAAGGAAGGAAGGAAGAGAGAGAGGAAGGAAGGAAGGAAAAAAGGAAGGAAAGGGAGGGAGAGAAAGAAGAGAGAGAAAAACTAAAAAGATAGAATAGAGGAAAAGAAAGTGAATTAATATGTAGACAGTTTTGCCTAATGAACCTACATGTAATTTTGTTTTTCAAACAAAATTTTTTGAACTTTGTAGCTCAAAAAATGATAATTCTGGATGCCAATCCATGGGAAAATGATATTTCAAAATTTGCTGTAAAGAAAGAGCAAATAATTACCTGCATGGCGAGGGCTGTAAGGCCTCAGAAATGCACATTTGCACCAAAATTCCCCTCCAATGAGACTCGTTATTTATACATATTTATATTCTTTGTCACTCTTGAATGGAGGTATTATTGATAAGGAATAGAAACCCTAAGTCAATATCTGTACAATTATTCTCAAGTAACTATTTTTTGAGTTACTAGGAAAACAAAGAAATAGGTATTATGTGATCAAGTAAATTTGAAAAATGCTAGAGTTAACAAAACAGAACATAGGCCTCCGTATGAGTTTCATGCATGGTAAACTACCAGAGGAGAATACAGAGAGGATGTCACTTTTGGCAATAGAATCCTGTTTTTTTCTCAGAGCCTGGTTGGAACATAGATGGAAAAACAGAGCACAAAGCCATATTTTAGTCAACTTTAATTGGATTATCAATGTATAATCATAGCTGAGTCCTCACGACTAGAAGAGACAACAGCAGTCGTTATTTACTGAGCGAAGGGCTTCATCAGAGTCTTCAGACATGACCAGGGAAAGGCCACCCAGCAGGGCTGCTCTTTTGTGGCGTAGCACCTAGTGCAGGGGCTCTGACCGCAAAGTATAGAATACCTTATCAAACAAAAGATAGTAAGATGAGGATATAATACATCACTGTAAGTTTTCAAAAGAGGGAAAAACTATACCTCCCCGGGCAAACGCACAAAGGCTTTGTGAAAGGCTAGGCACCCGTGGCGGCGGGTGAGGGAGAGACGCTGGCAGGCCCAGAGCTGGCGTGAGCGCAGACTCGCCCTGCGGCGGGTGAGGGAGAGACGCTGGCAGGCCCAGATGGCGTGAGCGCAGACTCGCCCTGCGGCGGGTGAGGGAGAGACGCTGGCAGGCCCAGAGCTGGCGTGAGCGCAGACTCGCCCTGCGGCGGGTGAGGGAGAGACGCTGGCAGGCCCAGAGCTGGCGTGAGCGCAGGTTCCGCCTGCGGCGGGTGAGGGAGAGACGCTGGCAGGCCCAGAGCTGGCGTGAGCGCAGACTCGCCCTGCGGCGGGTGAGGGAGAGACGCTGGCAGGCCCAGAGCTGGCGTGAGCGCAGGCTCGCCCTGCGGCGGGTGAGGGAGAGACGCTGGCAGGCCCAGAGCTGGCGTGAGCGCAGACTCGCCCTGTGGCGGGCGGGGAAGCAGTGGAGAAAGAGAGGACAGAGTTTGATTTGCTGATGTTTGCTATGTTGGCCACCACAGGGACAGCGGTGAGTGATGAGAGCTGATGGTTTGGGGTCATGGTGGACAGAGGGTGGTGGGAGACGATGGAGAGTTGAGACTAAACTTGTAAATGGAAAGAGACAAATGGAGCCCTGGCCACATAGGGCCTGGCGGAGGCGTGGCAGGGAAGGGCGCCCAAGGCCAACCGAAGGCTCCTTTCCCCTCCCGCACTCTTTGGCTAAGGAAAAGGCCTAATCTGATGTTTGGATCCTGGTTCTGTGTCTCTACTTGCCAGTATAGAAAGCCAAAGACAAGTACAGTTTTTCTTGAAGATGTATGTTATTCCCCAAGGAATCCTTTAGGAAAAGCATCCTGAGAAATATCTGTTCATTAGATATATTCTGGCAGCAGTTGGAAAAATCCAAATTGTACCAAGCACATGCACATACACATAACACACTTGACTCTTGAAACACTTGTGGTTTAACTGTTTTGTTATTAACTGTCATTATGAAGTACCTATTACTTTCTTTGGTAAATGTGTTTATAAAACCATCCAAATATATTTTAAATATGGTAAGATAGTTACAGAGTTTGAGTCCAATGATTTCTTAGAGAAAATTTTAACTACATATTCAGTTTTACAACCATAAGCACAACAGATTTTTAAAAACACCCCCCTCATGCTTATTGCTATAAAGAAGGTAAGTGCTCTCCAGTGTCTTGCTTGATTCAAGAACATCCTGGCTGCTGATTCTTGTAAGCTGTGTGGCATTCTTCTGACATCCAGTGCTGATACATTCCACATGAAACCCACTGCTCTGGAAGGGAAACCTTCCTGCTGAATCAGAGGGGTTTGTAGAGACGCAAAAATAACAAACAACCTATGTCTTTTAGAAATGTTGATGTACCTATCCTTTGCCTTCTCACAAGCAGGCAGGTTCCCTCTTCCTCTCCCTCTGCCCCAGTGAGAGGTACGGGCTGCCCACAGCAGAGGCTCGCAGGGAAGAGAACATGTCTCCATTAAGTCCTTATCGCTTGCTGGCTGGCTGCAGCTGGCCACAGCCTTAGTCTCACCTTGGCTCTCTTAACAGCAGATGGGTTCACTGAGAATAGATAGCCTGTCATCCAAACCCAGCAGCCCTCTTTCCCTCTAGTTCCAAATGTGCTGCGTGAGCACAAAAGCACACTGTAGAGGCAAATGCAGCTAGGAACACAGTCCAAGCGACCTCAGAGAGTGAATAGGTCAAAGCAGTAGGTTGGGGTGCTAAGTGACTATAGCAAACTATGAAGCAAATGCTTGCCATTTCCCTACTCAGAACAAAGCTGACAACCTAAATTTGATTAGGTTTCATATGAGCTTAAGGCTCTGGGAGTCAACACATGAGCAGAAACATGATCCTGGGTATCACATGTGAGGCCGCGTAGGGAGGCCAAGTCAGCTATGCGAGCTCAGCGATGTTTGGCGAGGAAAATCAAGCAACATCTCTCTCTAGGTGACTGTTTCCTGTGCTCCAAATTATGGACTGTCACCCTGAAATGCTGGCAGCCTTTTTCCAAACAATACTTTCCCTTAAATTGTTATTTCTAACTCTGAATGGAGAGACATTAAGTGCTACACATATCTAATTTTGTCACCTATTAATTTTAATGAGTGCCAATCCATCTGTTTCATTCAGACACCCTCGATGTGTGTGTGTACGTGTGTGCGCGTGTGTGTGAAAGGTAGGGCAGTGTGCTGCTTTGTTGCTTTGTCCCTGTGCATTGATGTGTCATTTTGAGAGTGGCTTCTGTGTACAGTTGGAGACCTGGTTTCAGATGCCAGTCGGAGCATCGCCAGGCTCATTAATAATGGAGAAGTCTGACAGGAGCAGCTTCGCCTGCCTTTGTTTTCCACTATAGGTGAAGGGAGACATGGATCTCTCTGTTTTGCCAAATAACAACCATCCTGACAAATTCCTGCAGCTTGACGTGAAGTCTTTAATGAGTTCAGCTCTCCTTCAGGCCAGCCTGGCGCAGTTTCCGGGTGGAAATTATCCGGCTGCACAACACTGGCAAAACCTCGTCTACTCACAGGTAGGATCTGGGGGCACAGAAATAAGGGAGGGGGCTTATTTCTTTTACTACCTGCCATTTCATCATTTGTGCAAAAAGAAGGCCATGGGGAACAGAAGCCAAGATGCGTGCTCTCTCGTCCAGCATAGTCTTTCTCTCTTCCTGAACTTAAGGAGCCTTTCTCTCATCTCTTTACAAAATATGTGAATTCTTTCATTCATTCATTCCCCTCCAAGCACTAGCTTCTCACCCTGTCCTCAGTTTGGATTTCATGTAGCCCTCATGCTGCCTTTTCCCTTCAGAACTTTTCAAGCTAATTGTGACATTTGCAAATAAGGATCTAGGAGAAAAACCCCATCTTCATATTTTGGTGTCGTCCAAGCATAAAGCATCAGGAACTTACATCGTGGGTGTAACGAGCCTCTAAGACAGCTGGAGACCTTGTCTCTGCCTCTCCTAGACAAGCTCCCTTTCATTTACACAGAGAAGATTCAGACAGCAGAACAATGGAAATCTGATAACTAAAGGGGAGAAATACAGGGAAAATACAGGAAAAAAATACAAAGGAAAAAAAACTCCACCTTGGAAAAGTGCTAGCTAGCTATTAATGTTCTTATAGATACTCTTTTACTCCATGTGTCCACGTGTACAAGACATACCAATCAGACCTTCAAACCCAACACCCATTTTATTTATCTTGCTTTTCTTTTGCATCTTCCTTCTTTTTTGCTGACCAGAAGAGAAGCAGCAAATTGTGATGAGTTCCATCTGCTGGAGTAAACATAGAGGTCCTGGCTTGGCTGTTGCACAGCTAATGAAACAGGAATAATCTTTGATTTAAGATGCAAAGGCTAATGGGGTTAAGAGTTAGTCAATTTAGAAACAGGAAGAAGCATTTCATTTCAGAACAGATGTGACTGACCTACAAACCCCTGCAAGTCATTAAATCCTTTGGAGTGGTTCAAATTCCCTGAACAGAAATTTGTTTTCTTTTAAGAACAGTTGCTGCTCATGCGTCCTGGTGTAAAGTGATTCCTCTGTGGTATGTTTGTGGGCTCCTCGGGACTTTACCATGAGATCACTCAAAATCAAGTACATTCCAATGGTTATGTAAGTGTTTCCTCCACCTATAAGGGTTTTAATCTATTTCCATTGTAAGACAGCCTGTTATGACAACTGGCATTTTTTGAATTTTGCATCAATCCCTTTTGTAATCCTCAAATCCTCTGCCCTTTCATGCCCACGGTATAGTTGTTGTTTTTGTGTTTTGTTTAGTTCTAAATTAAATGAATTTAAATTCCTCCTCTTTCTTCCTCATTGTTTGTATCATAGAATAAAATGATTCAAAATTCAGAAAAGCTCGGCCCTCCTATGCTATGAAGTTTAGTCTAAGAAAACATATACAATAAATCTTTTGAGGTTGGGACATATCAATCTAACATTTTTTTTTGGTACTGGAGTTGATCTGTTTCCTTCATGTGGAACTTCACAGTTTAAACTCTGTTGAAGGTTGTTCCTAAATGAAATGCAAATTTTTAAAAGCCAACTGTTTCTACAAGCTCTATTGGGTCAAAATAGTTATTCCAGGAAAAACCCAGGAGGTAAACTGCTTCACTGGTCTTTGAGTATGCATTGTTGATAATTACAAACTTCGAATAATTGATTTAGCTATTCTTTTATCCTACAAAGAAATATTAAATGACTGAATGAAGGCCAATTTACTATCCAAATAACTCATGGAATGGAGAGCTGGGGCAGTAAATCAAGTGCAAATTCAGGTAGTCAGATAGGCATGCACAAACTATGAGTAACAAGGATTATATTCACTACTTCACGATACATCCGTAAATAATTCTTCTCTCCTTTGCTGGATCTTACAATCCAGGATTGATATATTCCTTAGATTAAAAATTAACCTCAGAGAAGTGGTTATATAAAAGTTCTAAATAGTTGTCATGATAACTGGAAGAAGACACTGAATACACCTGGTGTGTTAAACGTTTAGGCACACATAAGGTAGAAAGTGCCAGATAGTTCTTAATTTAAAACCCTCACTCTGTTGAGGAGTCATTAAGCCAATGAGAAGAATATGGAACGAAGAGATTAGAAACTTTGTTTCCTGTCTCAAATCCGTAGTAAACCAGTTTGAGAGACGTCTATCATGGCCCTTAGTCCATGCTGCAGTACCTCTGCTTGCAAAAATTAAGATAATATACATTTTATGTATTTCCTTTAAAATGACAGCAAATGAAATATGAGGTTAAAGCAATTGAGACACAGAACTTACTATAAGACAGCAAGAAATATGTACAGAGTATGTATTATTATTATTTGCCAATATTTTAAAATGTATTGAAATTATTCTTTCATTGGATTTTGGAAAACAGCAGATATTCCAATTTCATTATTCTATAGCTATTAGGAATGGAAGTAGATGGTGTGTGTGTGGTGTGTGTGTGGGAGGTGTATGGGGGAGGCATGTGTGGGGAGGCGTGTGTGTGGTGTGTATGTGGGAAGCATGTGTGGTGTGTGTGTGGGAGGCATGTGTGTGGTGTGTGTGTGGGAGGCATGTGTGTGGTGTGTGTGTGGGAGGCATGCGTGGTGTGTGTGTGGGAGGTGTGTGTGGTGTGTGTGTGGGAGGCGTGTGTGGGAGGCATGTGTGGTGTGTGTGGGAGGCGTGTGTGTGGTGTGTGTGTGGGAGGCATGTGTGGTGTGTGTGTGGGAGGCATGTGTGTGGTGTGTGTGTGGGAGGCATGTGTGTGGTGTGTGTGTGGGAGGCATGTGTGGTGTGTGTGGGAGGTGTGTGTGTGGTGTGTGTGGGAGGCGTGTAGGCGTGTGTGTGGTGTGTGTGTGGGAGGCATGTGTGGTGTGTGTGGGAGGTGTGTGTGTGGTGTGTGTGGGAGGCGTGTGTGTGGTGTGTGTGTGGGAAGCATGTGTGGTGTGTGTGTGGGAGGCATGTGTGTGGTGTGTGTGGGGGAGGCATGTGTGGTGTGTGTGTGGGAGGCGTGTGTGGTGTGTATGTGGGAGGCGTGTGTGTGAGTGTGTGGAAGGCGTGTGTGGGAGGCATGTGTGGTGTGTGTGTGGGAGGCATGTGTGTGGTGTGTGTGGGAGGCGTGTGTGGGAGGCGTGTGTGGGAGTGTGTGGGAGGCATGTGTGGGAGGCGTGTATGGGAGGCATGTGTGGTGTGTGTGTGGGAGGCGTGTGTGTGGGAGGCGTGTTTGTGTGGTGTGTGTGTGGGAGGTTTGTGTGGGAGGCGTATTTGTGTGGTGAGTATGTGGGAGGTATGAGTGGGAGGCGTGTTTGTGTGGTGTGTGTGGGAGGCGTGTGTGGGAGGCATGTGTGGTGGATGTGTGGGAGGCGTGTGTGTGGTGTGTGTAGGAGGCGTGTGTGTGGTGTGTGTGGGGGAGGCGTGTGTGGGAGTGTGTGGGAGGCATGTGTGGGAGGCATGTGTGGTGTGTGTGTGGGAGGTGTGTATGTGGTGTGTGTGTGGGAGGCATGTGTGTGGTGTGTGTGTCGGAGGCATGTGTGTGGTGTGTGTGTGGGAGGCATGTGTGTGGTGTGTGTGTGGGAGGCATGTGTGGTGTGTGTGGGGGAGGCGTGTGTTTGGTGTGTGGGGGAGGCGTGTGTGGGAGTGTGTGTGGGAGGCTTGTGTGGGAGTGTGTGTGGGAGGTGTGTGTGGGAGGCGTGTTTGTGTGGTGTATGTGTGGGAGACATGTGTGGTGTGTGTGTGGGAGGCGTGTGTGTGGTGTGTATGTGGGAGGCGTGTGTGGGAGTGTGGAAGGCGTGTGTGGGAGGCATGTGCGGTGTGTGTGGGAGGCGTGTGTGGTGTGTGTGTGGGAGGCGTGTTTGTGTGGTATGTGTGGGAGTCGTGTGTGGAAGGCATGTGTAGTGGGTGTGTGGGAGGCGTGTGTGTGGTGTGTGTGTGGGAGGCGTGTGTGGGAGGCATGTGTGGTGTGTGTGTGTGGTGTGTGTGTGGGAGGCATGTGTGGTGTGTGTGTGGGAAGTGTGTATGGGGAGGCGTGTTTGGTGTGTGTGTAGGAGGCGTGTGTGTGGTGTGTGTGTGGGAGGCGTGTGTGGGAGTGTGTGTGGGAGGCTTGTGTGGGAGTGTGTGTGGGAGGCGTGTTTGTGTGGGAGTGTGTGTGGGAGCGTGTGCAGTGTGTGGGGGAAGGCGTGTGTGGAGTGTGCGTGTGTGGGAGGCGTGTTTGTGTGGGAGGTATGTGTGGAGTCGTGTTGTGGGAGGCATGTGTAGTGGGGTGTGGGAGCGTGTGTGCGGTGTGTGTGTGGGAGGCGTGTGTGGGAGGCATGTGTGGTGTGTGTGTGTGGTGTGTGTGTGGGAGGCGTATGTGGGAGGCATGTGTGGTGTGTGTGTGGGAAGTGTGTATGGGGAGCGTGTTGGTGGTGTGTGTGGGAGGCGTGTGTGTGGTGTGTGTGTGGGAGGCGTGTGTGTGGCACCTGGTGGTGATTGAGGGATGTCTCAATCGTCCTGCGAAGCTGTGCCGCCAACCCCAGCAGCACATATGATACTGCCTGAAATCCACACACTCCTGAGTGGTGTCGACTGTCCCTTCATACCCACACCGATCAGGCGCATGGTGTTGGGGACTACTTCATCTATGTCATGTGACCTAACCCACAGATATCACCGTCAGATTGGGGGTAACTTGGCAGTTAAAACAGGAATTCTCGCCGGGCGCGGTGGCTCACGCCTATAATCCTAGCTCTCTGGGAGGCCGAGGCGGGCGGATTGCTCGAGGTCAGGAGTTCAAAACCAGCCTGAGCAAGAGCGAGATCCCGTCTCTACTATAAATAGACAGAAATTAATTGGCCAACTAATATATATAGAAAAAAAAATTAGCCGGGCATGGTGGCACATGCCTGTAGTCCCAGCTACTTGGGGAGGCTGAGGCAGGAGGATCACTTGAGCCCAGGAGTTTGAGGTTGCTGTAAGCTAGGATGACGCCATGGCACTCACTCTAGCCTGGGCAACAAAGCAAGACTCTGTCACAAAAACAAAAAAACAA